TCCTTTGAATTTGATTGTATTTGCTGTAGTTATTAGTTTAATTCTTGAAGGTGTTTATATTAACTTCCTTTCATGATACCACTCAGGAACTTGAAGAAGAGCAACAACGTCCACCCGATCTTGCAAATCTTCAGATGAGAATAAAAGATAGTTAGTGGTCTTTGCACTAATTCTCTGTTTCATGGTTAGCATTTATCATCTAATTTGCTGAGAATTTGTTTGTTTATTGTAGTTGTTCGAGTGCTTTCAAATTTTAAGGATTTGAGGCAAGAGGGAGCCACAAGGAAGGATTATATTGACCAGATTAAAATGGATTTGGGATCATACTATGGTTACAATGAATTCCTGATAGGGGTTTTGGTGGATGTAATGATCATCTTGTTCTACTTTTTGTTGTCTACAATACTTTTGTCCTTTTCCCATTTCTCAAGGGAGGGAGGGAAAGAGGGAGGGAGGGGGGAAGGGTTTGTGTGGGATCAATGTTTGCTGATCAATTATTCTATTAATACCTTCCATCTCTTTTTCAGATGTTTCCAGTTGTTGAACTCATGGAACTCATTGAAGCTTTTGAAAAACCTCGACCTACATGTATTAGGACAAACACATTAAGGGTAAAATACATTTCTCTGTTGCTGTCTTCATTTTTACTTGTGCATTATGTGGTCAATTATAGCCATAATCTCCTTATACATGCAGACTCGCAGGAGGGATCTGGCTGATACTCTCTCCAAAAGAGGAGTAGAGCTGGACCAATTAAGCAAGTGGTCAAAAGTAAGATGCCATGCCTTGTCTTAACTTAATTTTCATTTTTCTCAGAACTCTATTTTCTAATGGAATACAAAAGGAGCACTGATATTCAATCTTTAGGTCGGATTGGTGGTGTATAATTCACATGTGCCCATTGGTGCCACTCCAGAGTATTTGGCTGGCTTTTACTATGTATGTGTTCTTTCATTATACTTTTTTTTCATCCCATTGCTGCAATTATTTTGTACAATTAGAATGTATGGCATTTTCAGTTACTTATCTTTTTTCACCAACAGATACAAGGTGCAAGCTCTTTTTTGCCAGTTATGGCTCTTGCTCCTCAGGAAAAGGAACGAGTAATTGATATGGCGTGAGTTACTCTATTCTATGCACTATTGTTATCAGTTGCCATTGTCTTTCCGTTTTATTTGTTGATTTCCTTTTTGGCAGAAGATCTTCCATGTGAACGATATTCTAGAAAACAAGTGTTGGGGACTCATAATATGTTTCAATATCTATATTCCAGATTGTGCTGGGAGAGTCGTGCTTTTTTAAGTTGACATGGTTATAAGATTTGTGGACATTCTTTTTTGACCTGTAATGCATTGAGGCTAATCCTTTTAATTAAGGAGAAAACTGATTAAACGACAAAGTTTGTGCTTGGTGTCAGACACTAATTGATATTAATTGATTAAACGACAAAGTTTGCAGTTATGTAGATTATATAAGTTCAACCTCAAACACAAAGTTTAGATGTATACTTGCATTTTCCGTACTAGTTTGTTCTCTCTTTGTAGCCATGATGCCCGTTGATCCTCATTTATATTAGATTAGGATAAATTTCATCTACTGTGTTTTCTTGATGCAAGCATCCCATAAAAAGTAACCCCATCTTTAGTCTAGATCATCATTTTCTCCCTCTTGATTGTAATTGTGCCTGTTGCAGAGCTGCACCTGGTGGTAAAACAACTTATGTCGCTGCTCTCATGAAAAATAGTGGTATGTTAGTCTATTTTTCATTCAAATTGTTGAATTTTGTTTTTGACTCTGATATTCTATTTTGTTTTATTTTACTTTTGTAATTTGCTTTCCCATTTTCAATATTTAGTATGGAAGAATAATTTAGTTGAATAAAGCAAACATAATTTTTTTATATAGTTGTGGCTAGTCCTGTAAATGAACTGAACGTTCAACGAACCGTTCATGAACTGTGTGGCGGGAAGTTCGTTTATGTTCGTTTATTTATTAAATGAACGAACATGAACAAGATTTTGCGTTCGTTTAATTAAATGAACGAACACGGACAAAGGGTTCGTTCGTTCGTTCATTTACGTTCGTGAACGTTCGATTATATGTTCGAACAGAGGACAAGTTGAATATGTTACGAAGATTATTGAAGAAGTTTGAATTTCAAGAAGATTGTTTTGTTGAACAAATTAACTTTAAGACTTTATTATGTCCATATAGCTTATTTATGATTTATGTATGTTTTTTTCGTATTCGAACAAATTAACTCTAAAGTTGCATGTTATATTAATGAATTTTAAGTTGTTATTCTTGTTGTTTACTTTTTTTTACATTCATTTGTTGTGTTTGAATAAGTTTGTTTTTTGTGTTTGTGTTGTTCGTTTATGTTCATTTATTATGTTCGTTTGTGTTCGTTCGTTTGTGTTTGTTTACGTTCGTTTATGTTCGTTTACGTTCGTTTATGTTCGTTTATCATTTAAATGAATGAACATGAATGAACTATATTCCTTAATGAACGAACATAAACAAAAAAAAAATTTGTTCGTTTACGTTCGTGTTCGTTTATTTATTCAATGAACGAACATGAACATACATCCGTTCATGTGCGTTCGGTTCGTTTACAGGCCTAGTTGTGGCATGCTCTTTGTTCAACATTTCTTCTACAGTTCCTTTTTAATATTTTTGTTGGTATTGTGGCCAGGATTAATTTTTGCAAATGAAATGAGGGAAGCAAGGCTGAAGTCACTTACCGCAAATTTGCATCGCATGGGGGTGACAAACACAATAGTTTGTAACTATGATGGGAGGGAGGTTAGCATCGTTCTTACCCCATAAGAATACAATACTAAGTTTGATGATTTGATAATTGATGCTTCAAGCTCAAGAGCTTCTAAAGCATAAAGTGTTGAAATCAATTTTCTTTCCTTTTCTTTAAGTGCTTTTGGAGAGTCTCATATTAGTTTTAGGTCAAAAACAAATCACATGAATTTGTTCTTCATATTTTCTATTGGGTCATATGTACTTAGGGGATCGAAAGGGCATTTTCTAATCCTTTGTCTTAATGTTCAGCTTCCCAAGGTTTTGGGTCAGAATTCGGTTGATAGAGTATTGCTGGATGCCCCTTGTAGCGGTACAGGAGTAAGCATCTATCATAACCTTATTCCTCATATTGGTGGAATGCTCGACGTTTTCTGCTTGAACTGATTGATCTCTACTTTATGGTATAGGTTATATCTAAAGATCCATCTGTTAAAACCTCTAAAAGTTTAGACGACATACAAAAATGTGCCCATTTGCAGAAGGTGTGTTATTTCTATGAACTTTCCGCTTTTTCAGATGTATTTGGGAACCACAATAATGCTCGTCAGCATAAAAAGGGCTGAGTTGATCCTTTTCTTGTATCTTTCATATTCTAAGAGATTAATCCATGCGATATCAAATCTTTTTTGTTTGTAGCAATTGATACTTGCTGCTATCGACATGGTTGATGCAAATTCTAAATCTGGTGGATACATTGTTTACTCAACATGCTCCATGATGGTTCCAGAGGTTAGGTTTAGAATTCTGTTCTGGTTTTCCTACCATTCAAATTTCCGTGCTCTTTTTCTCTCATTTTGTCTGGTGGTATCTGTATAGAATGAAGCGGTCATCGACTATGCACTCAAGAAGAGAGATGTCAAAGTAGTACCTTGTGGACTTGACTTCGGGTGTCCAGGGTAATGATTATTTTTCTTTATTTGTTCAACTTTCTCCTGAACCGGACTCGTGTCTTCATCTGATGTTGTTTCCTTTAACCAGGTATATCCGTTTTAGGGAGCATCGGTTTCATACATCCTTGGAAAACACAAGGCGATTTTATCCCCATGTTCACAATATGGATGGATTTTTTGTGGCCAAGGTATATTTTAACGAACCTAATCTCATTCACCCTAGGTGATCTCTGTACCAACACTTTTTACTCGCGGTTTATTTATTTTTCTTTCTTCTTCGACTTTCTGTAGTTGAAGAAAATGAGCAATACGAAGAAGAATCCTGTAAGTTCTGACGGTTTAGAAACAGTAGAGCAAAAGCCAGAGGAGATACATAGTGATGAGGACAACATAAAAGAGCATGAACAACCGATAATGAAACAAAGCACGAAAGGGAAAAAGAAGAATGGCTTACCTGGAAATGGGAAGGTTGAATCACCACCACCATTGAAAAACAAGGAAAAAAGTGAAAATGGAAAGGTAGAATCCCCGGCAACATCGAAAAAGAGGAAAAGAAAATTTCCTTCTAAAGAGGAAATATCAAAAGCGAGGTAGATGGCTTGTCTCGATACAATTCAATCCTACAAGTTGGTTTATGTTGAATGATGAAAAACCTTGTCGAATTCTTTGTTTATGTCTGAAATTCTTGCAGGGAAGAGAAGAGAAAAGCAATGAGGGATGGAAAGAAGCAAGCAAGGGCAGATAAGAAGATTGGAAAATGAAAAAAAAAAATTGCACTTTGCATGCAGTGATATGATAACTTGATGAGTGCATGAATCTTTGTTCACTATTTAATCAAACTTTTGTTTCTTTTCATGTCTTTGTCAAATTTTAATTATGTATTATTATTAGCACCAATTGTTTTTGACTTCATCTGAAACCTTTTAAGACTTCTGCAAGTGTAACAATGAATAACATATATGTACTTAAGATCTTTTTATATATATCTGATCATAAATTGGAAGAAAGTAAGAAATGAAAGTAAAAATTAAAAATCGAAGAAAAGCTAAAGAAGCACGGTGTTATTATATTACAACGTGTTAACTACCCTCTCTTTTAGTTAGAACTCACCAAAAACTGATTTGCTAAACGGTGTCCTGAGGTCAAGACATACACCCATCGTAGTTTAATTGAGATATGCAACCATTTTTAAATAAAGTTCCAAGAATTATCTAATTAAACTAAAACTTTAAATTTTATAAATATAAAGTATGAGTGGCTACGGATGTCGATAACCTAAACCCTACCGGCTCTTCAATGGTTGAGTCCTTTGTCGCTCAACTTCGAGTCTTGAACAAGGTTCGAGAGTAGGTAGGCAAAACATTACTTAAAACCCTAATAAACGTTTCTCCTCTACCTTGTTTATTGGTAACTAAAAACCCTTTCTCTCCTGTTGACTGTTGTCATTTAAACAGCAAAAATCTAAGCAACAATGGCGGAGCAGGAAGAAAATAAATTTTCAGTATGGGATTTGCCAGATGTGCCAATGGGTCAATTACCCCCCCCCCCCCACCTTGAACTCCAACGAAGTCGTGTTTTTTGCAACAAGGATGCCCCAAGTCATGTATTATAAAAGATTTATATGACATTTTAAAAATGACAAATAATATGTATTAAATTTGAAATTTTTAATAAATTATAACATATAATATGTATTAAATTTGAATTTTTTAATAAAATTTATTAAAAAATGAAAAAAAAAATCTTATTTTTAAATCATAAAGCTTTCCAAATTTTTTTATCGATTTTTAAAATTATTTTTTTTTATAAATTTCCTGAAAGTTTTTCAAATGTAACACGCATTATTGTGTTATGTGATATTAGTATAGTACTAGAGTGTCATATTAAATTTTTGTAAAAAAAAAAAAGTTGTGAAAATATACATCACGGTTAAAAAGCTTAGGGATAAATTTTTAAAGATGACCCTTTCTCTCTTTCTTTCTTTTTTCTTTATAGTTTGTACTGTTTTCTGTATATTAGATCAATTTTTTCTTCTTTGATTTTGTTTAGTCGACGGTGATATCAGTTTTGATGTTGGTTGTCAACTGTCAATTCTCATCTCTTTTTGTTTCTTCTTGAGTTTTTTAATAAGAATACTTATGTCTTTGTGATACGTTTATCTCTATTTTTATGACACGTTTTTCTATGCCTTTGTGACATGTTTTCCGTCTTCTTTTTCAGTCGTTTGGTCATTCTTTTTATTTTATGTTTTCTTATGATTGAATTTGACGACATTACGACTGATCAAAATGATCTTCTATGTTATGGACCATCAGACTGAATTTGAATATGCGATTTTGCGATCGTGGATAGTTTCTCATGACACTCGGCTCTAATTTGCAGTTCCCGGTAGTCGTTCAATAGCTTAATCCCATCTTGTGGTTCGTTTACCGATGTAGTTAGATTTATTTATATCTATTTTTTGTTCGAGTCTTTTGGTTGAGTTTTTAACATTTTTCACATATGTCCTTATATGATCTAAAGTGACTAATTTCAATATCATAAGAAAATGTCCAAATTATGTATTTAGTTTATGATTATAGTTGTAAACTCTTATTGTAATTTTGCATATAAGACTAGCGGTTTAAAAAAAAAATCATCAATTATTAAAAATGATAATATGGTACAATTTCATAGATGAAAATACCATTTAACCCAACTAAAAATAAAAAACTTGTGTGTCACACCAAATTCTTGAACTAACAGGCCAAGCAAAAGTTCATTATCAAGTGACAATTAAACCAAGTGAGCTGAGACCAAAAGTTTAGATTTAATTTGTTTAAATTTACCCTACGCAACTGAACAACTAAAAACACACATGATAAAGACAATCAAATAAATTAGAGGTTAATGACACGTCTGGTTCTTATGTTTTAGTGGGAACATAATTATGTGTTTTGGCAAATCAAATTTATGTAAGCGTCTATCTTTCAGAATTAAGTGGAACAAAGTGTTATTTTGCCATGAAGGTTATGGACAAAGCATCTTTAGCAAGTCGTAAGAAACTTCTTCGAGCTCAAACCGAGAGAGAAATCCTACAATCCCTGGACCATCCCTTCCTCCCGACATTGTATACTCATTTCGAGACCGATAAGTTTTCATGTTTACTGATGGAGTTCTGCCCCGGGGGTGATTTGCATACACTAAGACAGAGACAACCGGGAAAGCATTTTACCGAGCTAGCAGTGAAGTATGTGAATTCCTCCTACTTAAAACATCTATTTAGTTAGATTTGGATCGAGTTTATGAAATATTATTTGTGTTACGTTTCGGATTATTGTGTTTCCATTTCACATTATAGGTATATGAACTGATATACCGATGAAAATAGGATCAAATCTGCATGTGCCATATCGGTTGGCGGACCATAATAACATAGACTTCATTAAATTCTTTTTTAAGTTGATTATGCAATCGGTTGAAACCAAATTCTGATAGCATTGCTATGTTTTCGTATGACATACAGGTTCTATGTAGCAGAGGTTCTCCTTGTTTTGGAATACCTCCACATGCTCGGTATTGTTTATCGTGATCTCAAGCCAGAAAACGTTCTTGTTCGAGAAGATGGACACATAATGCTTTCAGACTTTGATCTTTCACTCCATTGTGCGGTCAGTCCGACACTAGTTAAGTTGTCCACAGCCGAGTCTGATCCCCTGCGAAAGAATCCGGTTTATTGTGCACAACCAGCTTGCATTGAACCCTTCTGCATCCAGCCAGCATGTGTTGTCCCTACAACATGTTTTTCACCACTCTTCTTTTCATCGAAATCCAAAAAAGACCGCAAGCCGAAGAATGAAATGGGGAACCAAGTCAGCCCCTTGCCCGAGCTTATTCCCGAGCCGACCAATGCTCGCTCCATGTCTTTCGTGGGAACCCACGAGTACTTGGCTCCTGAAATTATCAAAGGCGAGGGACACGGAAGTGCTGTCGATTGGTGGACATTTGGGATCTTCTTGTATGAGCTATTGTTTGGTAAAACTCCTTTCAAAGGATCCGGGAACCGTGCGACGCTCTTCAATGTCGTAGGGCAACCCTTGAGATTTCCGGAATCACCTGTAGTAAGCTTTGCAGCAAGAGATTTGACAAGGGGTTTGCTGGTCAAAGAGCCACAGCATAGGTTGGCGTATAAGCGAGGTGCAACAGAGATCAAGCAACACCCCTTCTTTGAAGGCGTAAATTGGGCTTTAATTCGTTGCGCAAGCCCCCCGGAGATTCCGAGACCTGCTGAGATCGAACGGATCCCAGGCCCCACATCATCAGCTGGCGATAAACCTGCTGTTTCTGCTGCCAAGGATCAGAAAAACTATCTGGAATTTGATTTCTTTTAATTATTTTCAAAACAGTTTTCTTGTTCAATGTTGATGATGTGCAAATTAAGATTTCTATAATGATAAATGATCATATGCTTGATGTCTTATCTTTCAAATTTTGATTTGCAATATCATGTTTGTTCTGCAACTTTTTCCTTCTTTCCATTAGAGTTGCAGCACAGCTTATACATTTTAACAAGCTCTAATTTTGATTTATCTCAATATTTCAAAGGTCTAATTTTATTCTCACTCCTTGTACCCTTCACATATTTTAAGTTTAGTCCTACTTTTCATTATATGAATTTAATCTTTGAGTATATACTTCTCAAAAATAATATCAAACAATTAAAGAAATGTCATGGACAGCTATCTGTATTTTAATATTCAATTTTAAATATACAAACGTAATGTACATGATTTAATGGGAATAAAATTAGGCAGCATCTGGCAGTGCAGGCCACTATGATCCCATCAGTAGGTCAACGAAACGCATGCAATTTAAATTTATCCCAGCATCTTGCTCTCGAGGTGTCGTATTTTGCAACATATAAATATAATGTTGATAGCCTGCACAGCAATGGAGTTTATCATCCTCACCTGCACAACAATTGGTGGAGAACATGGAACCCTAACAAGTCCAATAGATGGGAGTTATAGTCACATGGACATTCAGAAAATAATAGATAGGTTAAGATATCTGTTCAGAAATATATAATATAATATAGTAATTGTATAATATTCACATTGGAGGTTTCATGATTAAGCAAATGAGCAAGCAACACATGGAAACATTCTTACTAGCTAACTTAATTTAAATCATGGACTCTATGTTTAAATTTTTGGAAGTAAAAAAAAATATATATATATATATATATATATATGCATAGAAACACGTGTTGAATTACCAATATTGAAACCTCATCCATAGTTACCAATATTTGAGAATCAACTTTAGGTTGGACTGCATGGCTTAAATTTTATCACCATTCTCATTGATTTTACATTAAAAAGATATGAAAATATTAATAAATAATTAATTATTATGAGGTATTGATTCCATGATTCAAACTTTATTAGTTCATTTGTATCTAACCAGAGATCTCGCGTCAAAAAGGAAAAAGAAAATCCAAGGTATAGATACCCTATGGTATTGATAAAATGATTTGTTCTACTAATGCAGCAGCATTCAAAAACAAGGAACCCAGATTTCAATGGTTTCTTCTTTTTATTTTTTGTTCTCTCTTTTAGTGTGATTCTTTACCTTAAGCTATAAAGAGAGCAACGTCAACAACCGAGTAGCAATGAAGAGCTTTTGGTTTTAGTTTTTTGTTATCAAAGTTTGTTCTTTACCATCATTTTGTTTTCTGTGAGAAAGGGAATTGAAGAAGAAAGACAAAATGAGTATTGCTCATCAAGAAGCTATCAAGCAGTTTCTGTTTTTAATGGGAAATTATGAGATTAACTATTTATAGAGAGAAAAAAACGATTCTTTTTTAATTTTCCTTCTGTGGGTTTTCTCATTAAACCCTGATTGATTCGTCGTATATTTGTAATATTGTAAAACCATGTGTTTGTGTATATACTTATAGAGATCATACTGACTTGTGGAATTGACTCTGCTGCAAAAGAAAGCTTCAGCTGGAGTTGGTAAAACAAAAAAGTTTATTCAGGCAATTGATGATTCTTGAGATCACTCATTTTACTTTTTCGTTATGTAGAAACCGATTATACCGATGGATGTATATAGAGCAGTGCGAGATTCTCAGATTGTAGGACTGTCGGGCTACTCGAAAGAGATATTTACTTATTTGATTAAGATATGTATGTTCATATTCATAATTCAAAAGATCTTACATGGTGATTAACTGCCGAATTCATTCTAACTTTTACAGGGTCTTCCTGTCATTGCTGTTGGTGTTGGGCTTAGCACATATGATAAGGCATCTGTAAGGAGATCATAAGTCGTTCCAACTCTATTCCTAAATTTGACATTGCGGCCTTAGAATCTTGCATTTCGATTGAAACTAACTCGTACAAAGACTTATTTTCGAAATTTTGAGTATCAATATGCTTTTCTGCAAAAAAATTGACTTGTGTTCTGTGTAATTCATTAGTACAAAGTAAGTTGTTTTCCATGTTTAAAGGAACAAATTTAAGAGCTTAATTGAGGGCATGGATTACTTGTAAATTTCTCCATTTTCTCCTGGAGATTGACCATAACTGCATTCTTGTTCCACTTTCATTATGCCCTTGTCCTTCTCATCGACATATTTTATTAATTATGCTAGGTGACTTGGATACTTACTATGTTAAAAAGGGAAACCGATAAGTAGTTGTGGTTGGGTGGAAGTCATGTTTCAATACTCTAACTTGCATGCACTTCAGCTTGCATTGTATGGAGTTATTTCCATGACACTTACATCTGTGATTCTTTATGTTCTAGGTGAATTACTATGTACAGTCGCACATCCAGATGAATGAATACCGAGATCGTGTACTATTGGTGAGTATGGCTCTGCCAATGTGATGTTTTCCACTGATTGCTTGCTAACTTTTCAAGCATTCTAAAATGTTGCTTTTGTCATATCATACGACCACAGAAAAATATGGACAACATATCAGCACATGTCTGAAGGTTTTGGATATGACTGGCTTGAAGCTTTCAGCACTGATTCAAATAAAGGCACATTTTAGTATCATATAACCCTCTTTCTACGAAAAAGAACGTATTTTCTGCTCGTTACCGCACTAACTATCCTCTTACTAATGCAGACACTTACCACTATATCAACAATTGATGACCTGAATTATCCTGAGAAGACAGAGACATATTATATCGTCAATGCACCATATATATTTTCGGCATGTTGGAAGGTTTCAATGCTTCTCAATTCCACTTCTCTCGGCTATTTTTTACAATAAGAAATTCAAAATGCTTATATGCAAGTATTGGCAGGCTGTAAAACCTCTCTTGCAAGAAAGGACGAAGAGGAAAATTCAGGTGCTTCAAGGTTCTGGAAAGGACGAGTTGCTGAAGGTAAGCATACCTCCATCCATATTTGGTCTTTCATGTGCACTTTCTTTTAACTAACGATAAAAATCTGCTCGTTGGTTTTCGAGTTAGTCTTTCAGCTTGCAGTAAACTATCTTTAGATAATTAATCCATATGGATAATGCAAAGGATGATGCGTTCTTCATTCGATTCTTGTGCGATTTTGTGACTCAGGGCATGATTTGTTTTTTCTGCTCGATCCAGCTTTGTTAGGATTATTTCCGACCTTTGACATGTTCATTCCAACTATGCAGATAATGGATTATCCCTCCCTCCCACATTTTTGTAGAAAAGAATGATCTGGATCAGCACATTGCGTCAGCAATGGAACCGCTGATAATTGTTTCTCATTGGATCACGCCTACCACCAAGGGCTTTACAGTTACATAAAGCAACAAGCTACATTTAAAGAGACAGGTTCGCCGGTCAAAGAGGGGTCAGTTCACAGAATTTCTTGAACCAGATCCAGATGATACCAAAATCGCACGGACAATTGAATCCGAGTTTCACAAGCTTGCAGACCATAATGGTGCGTGCAACTCCATAAATGGCCTTAAAATTGGTGATTAGATTTTAGATAATGCCGATTATGTAACTGTCACGGATATGTTACTAAGCTTCCGGACTCGCAGCAAGAGAGGCCTTGAATTTCAATCATCAAATGTTATAGCAGAGCTTTCTCACATCGGCTCAATGCAGATTTGATAGACCCTTGTTGAGGATAATAGCGCATGCCTTTTTGCTTTATGAGATTCTGTATGCTTTATGAGATTCTGTATGAAACAAGACTCAAAACACTTCTTCTAAATGCAGCTTTCTTGAATAATATTCTTAAGACAGATTGTTGATTGATGATAATATGCACTAAAGGGAAATTTGCTGCTTCATATGGCCATGTCTACGTGGATTTCGGCAAATGACAAACAAAATTCCAAAAGAAACATAGTGAAATCCAAAAAAGCATAAATATGAACAATGCAAATATCATGACATTCTAACTTAGCTGTTTATAGCAGCTATAAGCAACAGCAATTGATGCAGCGGCACAAACAACAGCAAGAGCAGCATATGTATCTTCACGCTCCCAGCTCTCGAACCAAGTTGGCTTGGCACAAACCTTGCGAACACCGGCACCTTTTCCACTATTGATCATTGAAACAAGTTTCTTTCCACCTTTTTTCTTTTCAGGTGTCAACTTCACAGCCCCCTCGTCAATGTCCACAATATCCGACTTCTGAGGGTTGTGGCAACAAGCACTGCCATTTCCTTGGCAACAGCTTACAAGCTCATCTTGAGATTGACAGGCAATTGTGTTCATCTCATCTATTTGTCTTTGTGTTGCCTCTTTAGTGCTTCCTTCTATAGTAGTCTCACCGTTTTCTAGACGCCTTAGTTCTTGAAATTTCTTCTGTTTTTCTTCGGATAAACCCATCTGACCCCTGAAATGTGGCATTTAAATGCCATGTCAATACATAGTAAGCACGTCTAATTCTGTCAACAATCAGAATATTTCTTGTTCAGTAAGAACACAGCCAAGGTGAAAGATTTTGAGCGTCTTCCAGCCCTGTTTTACATGTACATTGCATTCTGCTTCATGCTCACCCACCTTAAAGACAAAAGTTTCTGCATATTGCATTCTTAATACTCTTATATTATATTCTATGAATGGAACCCGTGCTAAAAGAAGGATCATATAAGCAAGCTGACAAAAATAAAGTCACCTCCACAATGCATTGATAATTTCTCCTTTCCCAATATGCCACTCTAGCAGTGTAGGGACATCATCGGGAGTAACATACCCATACCTGCAGAAATTCATATGTATTTGTAAAATGTCTCAGCTATCAATCCAGTAGAAGATTTACATAAAGGAAATTCAACAAAATAGCCAACAGGAAAGAGATCATTCCTACCAGTGTCCTGTGACTTCTCCATTGATATTTGATCCGAATATGATAACATTTCCTGCATACTTATGCCCTCCAATGTGTGAGCATGGGCTAACAGACACTCTACCTTTAAGACCATGCAAAACTATCTCTTCTTTGAATCTGCTAACCAGTGGAGGTCCACAAACTCCACAGCGGCGATCTCGGGATCCATGAGAACAAACAAAAACAAATGACCCCTGTAGTTTTTCAGGAGTTCCAGGTAGCCACTCACCGTTCTTGACAAGCACTTCTTCAACAAATGTGTCAACATCGAAATGGGTCAATCGCCTGCATTCTTAGCTAAAATAGTGATCAGTTGAAAATAATGGATATAAACAAAAACGTCTATATAAACCTCGATGAAGATGCAATAGACCTGTATCTAATCATGTCTGGAAATATTAATACATCTCCATTTGATGTCTCAGTTCCATCATGCCCCTCACATATTGTTAAGCGGGTCTATAAGAAGACAAGCAGAAATAGATAAAGTAAGCATGCTGGAAACAAAAAACTCGCAAATTTAGGTGATGCATGTTAACAAATTCTCACTACAATCATTTCAGGGTGAATCTTTATATCTGTTCGTGTAGATAAAGATTTACAGTGTAACCAAAAGGGAGCACCTCCCAAAACAATACAAAGGGAAAGTAATTCTAAATTATCTAAAACAAGCATTGCATCCCTGTATGGATATACTTTTACAGATGCATCATGGACATCGAATATAGAGAGTTAAAACGAACACATCTTCAAAGTGTACGTTGAACAGTTTGTAATGGAAAATTTAGAACTAAAAACATCAGCTGCCAAATCACTTCCGTGTACATACAAACTCGAAACAGGATTGTATCCTTTAGAGTAATGAAACTCGTTACAGTTTGTAATGGCAAATTTAGAACTAAAAACAAGACAGATTGCAGACCTCCAAATCACTCCTAAACGCAGCTACTTAACAAATCATTGAAAGCCTTTATGAATCTAGTAAAGTTGAAGCCAAACCTAAGTTAAAAAGGTGAAGTTTGAACTATAAACACAACAAAAAAGCCACATTTCCCTTAATAAGAACCTGTAGAGAACATAACAATGTGACAGCAAAATGTCAAAATTGCTTCTAAAAAGGTAGCAAATTACGTTTTTCCAAAGCTCCAAAAATCTAAAGCCAATCTATTCATGCAGGCAGACCAAAAAGAACCAATTAAAACCCAATTTAATTATTAAAAATGGGATCTAAATCATAAAATAACCACAGGTTTCTACATTCTGAGATCACTCAAAAGATAAACCAATTAAGTACAAAAACAAAAACCCACTTAGATTCATCTACAAATGTATAAAGTTTAACAAATTTGAAGCTAAAAGAACTAACCAGGGCTTGAGATCTCTCAAATAACAAACCAATCCAAATAAAGAAACAAAGAAAATAAAGAAAAAGCACTCCAACCTCTTTAACCATATCAGTCTTTCTAGCCAAAACAGCAGCAGACAACAACCTAGGCAGACGATCAAACTCAGCAGCCTCAATTCTTGGAGGCCAAACGGATGGGCTTTTGTAGCAAAGGAAGACATGGCGTTCACAGAACTGGACAGTGCCGGAGATTGGACTTTGTTGTCTAAAGTCGGGCCTCGAGAAACCAAATTCGACATCACTGTTACTGGGACTAGCTGTTTCAGAAGCTAGAAGACCCTCGTTTGAGTAACTCCCAGCAGCACTCCCGATGTGGGAAGTTGGGTCTTGGAGATAACTGTCAAGGTGGTCTGAAACTATGATTGGAGAAGATGAAGATGATGGGTTTGTTGGGAAAGTTAATGACTCTTCTCTTTCTCTGCTACTTGACATCATTTCAAGGCACAAAGAGAGGTTAGAAAATAAGGGTTTTAGGGGACGGAAAAGGAAGAGTCTTTTTTCAAGAAAACGATTTTTTTTCTGTTGGAGAAAGGGACGGTTGGCTTTTGAGAGAGATGAAAGGTTTTTTTTTGTTTGGAGGTTTTAATTTCAGAGCTTCCAGTGGCATGGAAAAGACCTTTTTTTTAAGGATTTGTTTTGAATGATATTTCCAATTTTTTAATGAATTTTCACTTCTCCCCCCAATTAATGTTTTTTGTAATTTTCTTGTTTATGGCTTTGTCTTCATATTTCTGTACTAACTCTCAAATTTTAGGATAATTTACCAAGTTTTCCACTGAGTCAATACTTGGGGGCACTTTCATTTCCTAGGGTGATTCATCTAAGTGGACTTGATTTCATTTGTCAAAATAAAGTTTTAAGAGGAAAGAATCATAAGTGTCCCCCCCTTGCCATCAATTTTAATCAATACGAAAGACTCACATTATCAATAATTGAGGTTGAACAACTGTCAATGGCACTTTGATACTGTCAGATTTTCTCTCATCTAAAATGCTACCCTTTACCATACTTTTATATATAAAAAGATGGATTAGATCCACCTGCTTCTCATTGCTCAATCAAAACAATGCAAAAAAGTTTCAGGCTGATAATCAGGGTGTGAAGAAACACGTGTTGCATATGTATTCTTGGATGTTAGCAGTGAATGATAGTGATGTTGATGCAATACTGGACTCTTAATTGGACATTTTTTTCAAGTATTTTGGCTAATTCTCACCCACCAGTAGCTTAATTTTAGAAGAATGTTTAATTTATTCCACTAGATGAAGGATGCCATTGCCTGGATGCATTCAACCAGTCTTGAAAAACAAGCCATTTGAGTGGCCAAAAGCATTAAAAAAGCTTAAATTTTGATTACTGCCAAAGGTTCATCAACATCATTGCCACCACATTGCTCTCCAAAGAACTTTTGGCACTTAAAATACAAACACAAGCATTCATTTCCATTGCTAAGTCATCAATTAACCTAATAGTAGCCATATACACAGATGCCATTTACTCCATGTTGCTTGCAAACTAATCCTTGGTATTTCCAAATTAAATTCCTCACGCCAGACAAAATAACAGGGATTTGACTTCACAGTTCTCAGATGTACACAACCAAATATATGTTTCTCACAACCATTGATAAAATGTACAAAGATCAGGCAATGTTACAGAGGCTTCTCACCAGGCAGATAAGAGGGAGATCCACCCTCGATTTGGTTCTTTTTCCGATTGAAGATGCCGCTGATATTAGGTAAGAGAACCTTTTCGAGACGGAAGACTTCTCCTTTTCTAACTTGCTAACCTGAACAATTTTCTCTGGTGGGTACGGCTTTTGAATTCTGTAGTGCTGCGGGGATGATTCTGTTGTCATCTGTGCTTCTGCCAGTATCCGAGATGCAGCTTCAGCTGCTTTCTTTTGTTCCCTTTCACGCCACCTTCGGAGCTCTCCCTCCACGGCCCTCTTTGCAGCTTCAGCCATCTCAGCCCCCTTCAAAGCATCTGCAGTTGCGACCTTCATGTCTTCAATCTCTTTCCGAGTCACCTCTAACCTCTTAAGGGCCTCGTTTTCACTAGCCTTCACAGCTTCTATCTGAGCCATAGCAGCTGCCACTTTCATTTCAGCTAAATTGGTCGACTCTTCAACTTTCCGGCTCAAAGACTCAAATTCTTCCCTGGAGATAGTTATATTGGCTCCAGACTCAGAGGTTGAGGCCCGTGCAGCATTTGTTTTCTCAGAAAGCATCTTTATTTGATCAAGCGCCCTAGTCTCGGCTTCTTTTGCAGCTTCAGCGTCTTCCAGAGCAACTGCCAGCTGCTTCTCTGCTTCCTCAAGTGCAATTCTCGAGGTTTCAGATTCCACCTTTAGCTTCTCAGCTTCCTTTTTCATCTCTTTCGCTTCTCGCCACGCATGTTCTGTTTCCCCTGATAGCTGTTGGAGGGTTGAAATCATTTCTTCACAGTTACCTCTCGTTTTGGATTCCTCTGCAAGGTAAGTTTCAAGCTCAGCTTTACTTTTCCGAAGCTTAACATGCAGATTCTCTGCAATGGACTCTGTTTCTGCTTCTTTCTCCTTCAGCTCTGAATGCTCTTTCTTCACATTTTCTAGTTCCACCTTAAGAGACTCCACCAAACTTCTCAAGGACTTCTCTTCATCAGCGACTTTTTGCAGTGATTCTTTAGCACCATCTAGCTCTGAGGTAACAGTTTGCACATAGTCCAGATCTGAAGCCTTTGCATTTTCCATCTGCTTCTGCAAATCCCCAATCTGATTATCCGTTTCAACCAGTTTTGCTTCAAGATTTCGCATAAGCTCAGGGTCAAATTCGTTCTTCAAAGCAAGCAACTTCTTTGTTGACTCCTCAAGGGTAGCTTTATATAATTGCCTCCGAGAATCCTTTTCGGTGAACATTTCGGCTTGCTTTTGCTGTGCTTCAAGAGATGCAAGCTTCACTTGTCCGATTGACTCCTGTAAATATGAAATTTCCCTAGACACCTCTCCAACCTTCTCCATGTTAACCTCAGCTGCATGTTCAGCTTCTTCTGTCTGTTTGAAGGCAGCAATTTTTGCTTCCAAGGATGAATCACAGTCCTGACGAAGCTTCCTCAATTCTTGTTTAGCCGCATCAAGTTCGGTAATTACGGTCATGTATTGTTCCCTTGCAGTTTCCAAGTCTAGGCTCCTAAATCCGTCAGCTCCGGGAAGAATATCAGAATTTGCTTCTTCAATCTGCTTTGCCTGATTCTTTGCAGCTTCTGTAGCCTTGATTGCACATTCTTTCGACTCGTTAACAGTTTTGAGTTTATGAGACAGTTCCTCAACGGTTCTTTTAGCCCTTTCCAGCTCTACAAGTGCTTGAGCCTTGGTTGTCTCGGCATTTTCTAGTTGTTCCTTTAACCTTTTCAATTCTTTCCGAGTGATATGAAGCTGAGTCTCCTTGGCTAGAACTCTCTGCAACTCGAAAACAAATAACAGTTGAAGATTAATAAATGAATCTTGGAAAGATGACAAAAACGCTTCTTAACAAGGTCTAATTGCCACGTGGGATTCTCATACAAAGGTAGATTCTATTTTCATGATCCTTGGTGGTATGGTTCATAGACATTTTAACACTTACAGCCATTAGTGATGAATGAGAACAAGGGAATAAAAAATGTGAAAGGAAAAACTTGAACGTGCCACAGATATCATATCCAAGTCGAGAAAACACGTATACTATTACAACTTGTCACAAAATTTGAGGTGAAAGAAGAAAGAAATCTTCGGTGAGTCAATAGTACCTCCGCAGATTGAGCTTTTGCCTTTTTGATGGCAGGTTTTTCCCCAGAGAAAGCGCCTTCACCGAAAAGAGTGACAGCATCTTTAACAGACTGGAAAGGTGCACTGGTGTCTATCTCTCCTACCTCCACTTTCGGAGAGTTGGTAGCATTCTGAAGTCCCTTTGCAACCATAATGTCTCACGTCTTTATTGTTTGTGTCTGAAGTTCACAAGTTCAACAAAGGGTAAAAATCAGCACGAATTCGACAAATGAGACAAACTCAATAAGACGTGCAATATAATCTCCAAAACCAACATGTCTCAGCAGAAAGAATGTGAAACATGATCTCAAAGAAACTTTAGACTCCTCCAGGGCCAAATGATTCTTTTGCATTATTACATATTTCGACATCTTAAATCGATTGCTCGATCACAACATAGACTAGTAGCTTCAGGCTGGCAATAGTACACTAATCAAAAATAGATTCCAGTCCAAAGCTTCAGGTTAACAAGTGGAACCTGTGTTATACATCTGTCCTAGATTACCCAAAGCTTCAACACCATCAACGGAAACAGATTCTAGTACAAAAAATAGTCAAAATCGCCAAGAAATATTTCAACATCATGAAGCTGTACATACCTTAAATATCCTTCTAAAGTCTTCAACCAAATTTGACTATCTAATCACCTTTCTAAGAACATGAAGCTTTAACTTTGCCCCAGAAATTCAAGCAACAATAACCCTAGCTCAACACCAGAGAAATAAATAAATACATTTAAGAAAATTTTCTAGAACTCAAAACATGACAAAATTGATATCTCAAGTCAAGCATAGAAGTGAAATGAACTGTAAAAGATTATTCAACAAAACAAACAAGATCCTGTAAACAAAAGTAAAAACTTTACCTACGACGACTAAAACCAAAAGTAGTCAAACGAAAAGAAAAGAAAATTTTGAAGGATCACCTTGTCTAAAACTAAAATCTCTTCACAGCTTGATGTACATCTTCTTTGATCTCATACTGTTCCTTCTTTCTACAAAAACCCTTTTAGTCTTTCAACCTAAAGACCAAAACCCACCCAGAAAGACCCAAACTTTGGACAGGAATCTCCCAAGAAAATTTGATCAAAAATTCTCTGCCAAGAAAGAAGTAGGCTTCTAAGGGAAAGAAGAAGAAAAACATTCATGGGGTTTTAGTCAAAAGGGGCTTAGCTATCTTCTCTTTCAAGGATTCAAATAGTAAATGTTGTAACTTTAGAGAGAGTTTGAATATTTGAAAACAGTTTGAAACAAAATTTTATATAAGCAAGGACAGTGAAGAGAGAAAAAGCTAGAAAGACTGTTTCGACTGATAGAGAAAAATGGTACTTCTTGGACACTAATGTAGAATGTCTCAAAGTGTAAGGGTATTTGTGTCTGAAGGGTAGTAGTTGGAAGAAAAGTGGACAGGGGTGGCACGTTAAAAGTCTCGAGTGATGGGCGGAGCAGTGACAAAATGACAATGACTGAAAGAGAAGATGCTAAATAGTTTGGTTTTGATCCAATTGCTTTGCTTTGCTTTGCTTTTCAGCTCCTCCGATCTCTCTCATTCATCTCATCAGTCATGTAATTTGTCTTCCATTCTTTTTGTTTTTGATATATTTTGAATTAAATTATAATTAATAATTAAATTAAATTTTATTATAATTCTAATAGTGAATTATTGTACTTCTTGGACACTAATGTAGAATGTCTCAAAGTGTAAGGGTATTTTTGTCTTCCATTCTATTTGATACATGTATTCTTCGTGTTCTCTATATTTATAGTGAATTATTGTTCATCTCGTCTATGGAGGTAGGTAAGGTCGAACCATATTAATCTTATATGT